GTGGAGTGACCACAATAATCGGATTTCTTGAATACATGCTGCATGCCCCTGTACAGGAGCTTTTTATTGGGATAAAATCAGGCTATCCTCTTTTGTTTTCCTTGATATCCGCTAATAGCTAATGTGCTGTTAACACGGCAATTGGAATAATCTGGTAACTGCAGAAATCTTGTAATGATAGTGCTGTTAGTCTCAAGAGATGGTGCCACATCTAATATAAAATAGAAATTGAAATACTTTCTAATAATTGTTTTCTTTTGTTTATAATTTGTCAATGTGTTGGTGTAGGTGCAATGTCGATGTACGTCTACAGTGTTTACTGCAGCTTTTGTCTATACAGTTATGTTTGCATGTGGACAGATGTAGAAAAAACTAAATATGCCAGATTAATAGTGTGTACGCTCAGTAACCTAGTTACTGGGCTAAATCTCAGTATTTCTTCATCTGGCAACATCTAAATCAGTTATTAATGGTATTATTATTGAGGAGATAAGTGAATTTATTGTTTCTGCTGCCGGATTTGTAGAAGTGTAAAGCAGAGAGACGATCATCATGTCAAGCGTGGACCCACCAGAAGAAGAGAAAATGGACATTGATGAAGACACCCAAACTGTGAGTATCACTTTTGACATCAGTTATTTATAGTTTCTATCATTGTACATGCCTACTTAAAATACATTGCACATATTTGCAGCCACGTGTGTACCCAGATCTGACCCTGATACAGAGACAATACGCCCAGCAGACACCTCCACACGGGGCTGATGGCTCCCATCTGCTATATAACAGTTACAGCCCTCGTGATCAGGTGCACACTGGTTGCACAATTAGAACATACAGTCAGCATAGAATTATGAGGTTGTATCTGTGATCAGTTTTGATATACTAAAGATTGAAGATTTCACTTTCAAATAGCAGATTTCTTATGTGGTACAGTCAGCTTTCATACCTCAACAGCATTGGCCATCAGCCAATCCCAGCAAGATATGCTAATTTTTAAATCAAGTCAAGAGGCTTTTATTGTCATTCCATCTATGTACAAGTACACAATGGAGTGAAATTACGTTCCTCCAAGGAACACAGTGCAACATGAAACAAAATACACAGTACAAAGTGCAACGTAGTGCAATCAGCATCAAACTCTCATAACTGATTGGTAGCTACCCCTAAAGCAGATATTCACCATAGAATTTAATTAAAATAATTGATGTTTTATAAATAATGGCTGACTGTTTCACTTTCCATAACTGGGGTGGTCAGAAGGGTGAGAAGGGTTCAGTACAGACTCAGCTTAATATTACTACTAACCCTGTGAATTATGGTCTCAATAATGGATAATGGCTGTTAAAGTAAATGTGGAAAAGCAAAGAGCTTTTGGCATTTTATTTTCATTGTCTTAACGGTCTGACTCTGACATATTAAAAACAGAAAAACAATCATCCATTTGCAGTTGTGTTTCCTCACCATGACGCTCCAGCTCTTCCAAAAATAAAATGTATTTGCAATCCTGTTTGTCCTTAAGGATTCCTGTCAATCAAATGCTGTGGGCGGGATGTCGGGAGGGCTTTTTAGTGCAGGGCATGTTTTAAGAGGAAGTGTCAAGTCTAAACTTTGGCGGTTCTGGAGCAGAGCTAGATGCATGTCTAATACAGTACAGAGCAGCAACAGCAACCGCTGAGTGACCTTTTAACACTCGCTAACCAGCCGAGAATTATTCTGTCCAAAGTGATTGGCATGTGGAAGTGATTCTTGACCCACTAGGAGAGCCTCTGGCCAAACTTTTTCCTTTTTAATATGTCAGAGTCAGACATTGACAATGAAAATAAAATATCAAAAACTCTGCTTTTCCATCTTAACTGTAACAACCATTATACGCAGAAATGCAAAAGCAAATACACATTTTGCATTTGAATTTGAATTACATCTTAAATAATACAGCTTTTATTGTCAGTGATGAGGTTAGTAATGCTTTAAGAAATTTGAGTTTGAATTAAATACTCATATTTAATGCGCTTCTTTAAATGATGTAATGACAAATAACAAAAAGAAACTGTCTTTCACAGAAAACAGGACTGGGAGACATGAATATGGATGATCACAAGAATCCCGGTACTGGTGATCCTCAGAATACCCATGGCGGAGGGAACGATCAAAATATGAATGCAGGGGTGAGTGGCAAAGTAAGTTCTTGTTTGATAACAAAACTGAAATGATGAATAAATGTTAAAATTGATGAAGAAAGTATATACAATGTTGTGAATTCTTTTTACACATAATTGTTCTAGATCCTCAATTTATTATAAGATGAACACAACCTGAGTAACACAGAATACAGTTTTTAAATAATCATTTGATTTATTGAAGTAAAAAATCTATCCAACACCAGCTGACCCTATGTGAAAAAGTAATTGCTACCTTACTTACTCAATCAACCAATTAACCAAACTTGTTAATTGGGGCTGGGCAATTATGTCAAAATACACTTTTCAGAGCACATTGTGGATATTGTTAGTACTTAAACACTGACTAGCTACGTGTTTCTTTACAAAGAGAGCTTAAATGGTCTTGTTTAATTGGATTTAATGCAGTGCAAAAAATCTTTTTCTGAAAAAAGTTTTGATAAAACTATTGTAATTGTAAGATTATTACTATTATTATTATTATTATTAATATTAATAGCATTATATGTAACACTACAGGTTTTGCTTTGTCTGTTCCCACCCAGGCTTGATTGCTGCCAGCCCTGTTAAATCTATACATCATTTGTAAAAATCAAACTTTTCCAGCAAAAGGAATAGACTAAAACGTCTCAACAAACAGCTTCTAATTCCCTCTGTCAGCTGGCTCCACACAAAGTAGCTAAACGTTGCTTCTCCATGTTTAGTCTTTACCTTTAGCAGTACTAACTGATGATAAGATCCTAATGATCTGAGAGTTCCACTCGCTCGTATAACTGCAGCAGATTAGATAAACACGCTGCTTCTGCAGCATTAAGACATTTATAAAGCAGTAACAGCACCTTAAAGTGTATTCTGGAACAGACTGGTAGCCAGTGTATAGATTTAAGAATGGGGGGATGTGTTCCTTCATTTACTCCTGGTGAGACTCTGGCTGCTGCATTCTGAATCAGCTGAAGCTGGATTGTCTTTTTTGGGAGTCCAGTTAGGAGACCATTGCAGTGATCAATCCTGCTAGAAATAAAGGCGTGGATGAGTTTCTCCAGGTCTGCTTTAGTCAGAACATCTCTGATCTTGTTGATGTTTTTAAGGTGATAAAAAGCTGATTTAGTAACTGCTTTGACATGACTGCTCAAACTAAGATCAGAGTTCATTAGTACACCAAGGTTATGTACTAGTTCAAATCCAGAATGACAGCTAGTCTGTGCCTTTCATTGCTCTTCCCAGATAAAATAATCTCTGTTTTATCTTTGTTCAACTGCAGAAAGTTTTGTCCCATCCAGTAAGGCACTTACAGAGTGAGTCAGTGAGGCCATAGGGCCATGCAAATCTGAGTTCTGAATTCAATTAAACCGTATTGTCATTACACCAATACAGAATTGTACAGTATAAAGAAACACTGTCTGGCCACTTCTCCATGCAGTGATTAACAAAATAGAGAAAAAAGACAGTAGTGCAAAGACAAGTGTATACAGGTATGTGCATAAACAGTAACTGTAGGTTGGTTATCATCTGCGTAGCTGTGGTAAGATATCCCATTGTCTTGTAGGAGTAGGCATGTATAAATAATTTAAATGTGAATAAATAATAAGTGTGGCCCCGGAGTTGAACCCTGGGGGACACTACACGTCACTGGCACTCTCTCAGAACCATTGTTTTCTATTTCCACAAAGCAGTCCCTTCTTTGCAGGTATGAACTGAACCATTTTAGGACGGTTCCTGAGAGCCCAATCCAGTTCTCAAGTCTAACTATGAGAATTTTGGTCAGTGATATCAAAGACAATGCTGAGATCAAGCAGTAGAAGTAGAGATATTTTTCCAGAGTCTGTATTCACACGAATGTCATTAATAACTTAATTAGAGCTGTCTCAGTACTATGACTAGGCAAAAAAATTGACTGAAATTTGTCTAGAGAAAGCCAATAAGTTGCTTTAAGATGTAACGCTGAACAAGCACAGAAAGACGCTCGCGGATCTTAAAAACAACAGTTGGTTTAATGAGAGAACCAAGTCAGGGCAAATCCAAAAACAGTATCCAAAAACAGGCAAAACTCAAAAACCAGAAAATACAAAGACACAGGCAACCAGAGCAGAAAGGGCAAATCCAAAAACAACATCCAAAAACAGGCAAACGTCAAAACCCAGAAATTGCAGAAACACAGGCAACCAGAGCAATAAGGGCAAATCCAAAAGAGAAACAATTGAGAAACAGGCAATTGGTTTAGTACACAGGTCATGAAAATAGAGGATAAATGCTCAGTAACCAGTAGTGTGGCAATACCTTGCAAAGAGGAGAACAAACCAGGAACCTTTTAAGGTCTAAGGGAAATGGGTACAGGTGTGTTGAATTAGTATTCAGGTGACTGAGAACGAGGCAGAGGTCTGTGATTGGTGGAAGGGATGATGTCATGAGGATTGTTATTCTAGGAAATGGAGTCCTGGAGCGTGTTAGGCAGGGGAGGAGGACCCGGAAGCGTGACAGAAGATGATTTTTCCAGTGTAATGTAGATTTGAAATCTGATTACTTAATAGAGTTGCTTATAGATTTTTCTTTTTTAAGAGAGGCTTCACAACTGCAGTTTTAATCAGGAAAAAAACTCAACATGAGTGACATGTTTACTATCTGAAGTATGTGTGCTGCTATTGAGTGAAACACATTCTTTAAAAAGTTGGTTGGTAACATGTCAAGACTACAAGGGGAGGATTTAAGATGACTGACTGTATTAATTAAAATTTGTTGTCTTATTACTAGCACTGAACTGGAACATTTTAACCATTTTATTTTTTACTAGGTGATGGAGAGGATACAGGTTTGTAGGTGGAGGACAATGATCATGGGACTTTGGTGTCTGATACGGTTGATCATCGTCAGTGCTCACAATGAAAAACTAAATAAAAATAAAATTGAATGAAATTCAAAACTGTAGTAGCTCTGGACTGTATCAGAAGACAGGTTTACAATTAATCCAGGGAATCTAATCTAACACAGTAAAAACTTGGAAAAGAAGACTACCTCTTGAAGGGCATTAGTTTTGTCAGATAATGCTAATTTTATTGAAGAGAATTGCAAGTGGCCCTCAAGTTCTCTTAGAGTGGGTCCACTTGTTTTGATGGGAGGCCTGGGATCCCCCCTCTCTCCGAACTTTGGACTTCTAAGTGTTAAAAATACTTTTCATTTGTAAATGATGTCAGTTATAAAACGGATCATCCCAGTCCTACAATTTGATTGGCTTGCTGTTAATGTAATAATCTTGACTCTCATGCTGCTTACATAGACCACCGAGTGTACTAATAAAGTATGAACCTGATTCTCGGTTCTGTTTAAACTGAGGGGCTGGCAACTTATGTTCCTAACTAGAACTAGGCTGATCAGCTATCTAACAGGCTAAAGGATAGCAAACATGCTAAACAACTCCATCATTAATATCACAGACTTGAATTAAAGTACTTATGATATGATTTACTGTACAACTGCAATATAAAGGAATAAAGAATGACACTTGAATGTATTACATGCTTCAAATGTTCGTGTTCCAGTCAGAAGTCGCAGCAAACCCAGACTGAGTCTCAAACAGCTCCACACTCTGTACATAGTGTGCTAGCTATGGTTGTTTAAAAAATTCTAGCCTCTATAGCCAAATAGTGCATTATTTATTGAGTATAGATGTAGCTGAATCCCAGATGATTCTTAGCTATATTATGCACTGTTGGACTGCAGGATTCAGTATTTAAATTCCTACGTAGGGCACTATGTAGGGAGCACAGAGACATTTGAGATTCAGCCCCAGTGTGAGAAGAGGGGGCATCGCTGGATTGGTGCTAAATAAGACTCGCGGTGGTAATTTGGTGCTGTGCATATGTTCATTGTCAAATGCCCAAAAGTTAGAAAGTTTATGAAATAACTGCAATGTACAATGATAAGCAACTGAATGTTCTTCTACTCAGCGGTCCATGGTTGCTTGGCATTGATACCATACTCTAAAGGAACTACATTTCTTGACTGAATACTTGTTTATGATGATTACTATTAATAATAAATTATTTTCTGACAAATTGTGTTTTATCATATTTTATGTTGTTTTATAAAAGCAATAAGCCACTTGAGGCCATGCGTTACTATGATTTTATCAGGGGGAAGGAGGTTTTACTTCACTTCGTGTGGTGCCTAAGAACACCCTTCCCCATGAAAAAATCGCAGTAACACACAGCCTCAAGTGGCTTATTGTTTTAGTAACCTAAGTACTTAAAAATGTATGCCTATGCACCCGTATAACAATAGTATACTGTTTTTAAGAGCATATGTAGTTTATAGTTGGTGCGCTCTCTTTTCCAGCCCCCTGCCAGCAATGCCATTATTACACAGCCTGGCAAAGTTCAAGGAGATTTTCGTAGCCGTCCTGAAGCCTTTGGACTTACAAATACTCAGGTATGTACCAATGCAGTTGGTTTGGATAATCTGCCCAGCATCTGAATGGAAGTACAGAAAAATGTGTCTTTTTTTGTAGGTGCTCTCATCAGGGTTTCCGGATACTGCTGTGGCACAAATGAACCCACAGCAAGAACCTCACAAGAGCACAGATGCTCAAGCAGTCGATGAGGTAGGTATTACCTCATATATATGTAGATCTAGTAGTGGGCCTCTGGAAGGTCTGTAGAACTGAACCAAGGTCTTTAAAAAGATTTAATATAAAAGATGAACTGCACACTAATGGTGTCAAAAAAGCTGCAGAAAAAGGTAACCAAAAATAGGTCCAAAAACTTGCTTACACTGCTATGTAAAACTCCGCCAGAAGGCTGGTAGTGTCAAGTGAGTCCATAACATCATTACAAACGTCTTATCAAGACACACGGTGACCCAGGGGTTAAAGCAGGTGTGGAGTTACGGGACTTGAATCATACTACCAGGTGATCTGCGGGCTCTGTTTTATACAGGCAGGCAGTCTACTTGAATGTAGCCACTATGCAATCTACAAATAGCACGTCATTTTTAAAAACTGCATCATTTTTTCAGCCTCCATATATGACATATGGCATATGCTGATAGCAGTATCTCTGTCTGTCCAGAACTGAAGCTGTTCAGGGTCTGGCTACTGGGGTCTTTTTTCTGGAGCCAGCTCATACAGTCACTACCCATAGGCTGGAACTGCCCCCCCTTTTTTATTTCATAGATAAAACATTGGGTATTATAGTGCTATATTATAGTGCCCTTGATGATTCATCATTTCTAATATCTGTCATTTTCACTATGTTTCAGTACATATTCTATGTCATTTCTTATTTAATCCTGCCTGTTTCTTTTTTAATTGCAGGACTTACATACAGCAGATGCTGCAGGGGCAAAAATAGATGATGGGGTAAGAAGTGCCAATGTGACAAAAAGTGATTCGGTCCCTCCAGTTGCTACCCAGGTTAATGTCAGTGTAGAGTGGACACAGCCATTGCCACTAACATATACAGCGCAAAGTGCCTTGGAAAAGTATTCCCTCACTCATTATGTTTTGCATATTTAGAGTTATTGTTTTAGAATTACAGTTTTGATACATTTAGGCAATTTTATTCATCAATCCAAGCTCCAAAAAAGAGAGAAGAAAGAAAATGAGAAAAAAGCTCACATTCCCATCTGAAACAGTTATGGAGCTGAGACCGCGTGGATTGCCTGCATGGCGCTGCTTTGTTAAGGTTAACTGTTCTGACATATTTGACATGATTCAGTGAACATCTTGTGTCTCTGTGGTATTCCAGCCTCCTCTTATCATCTGATAATATAAAGCGCTCCATGCGATTTCTTTCTGATCTTTTGCCTTAAGTGGCCACATCAATAGTGGTGCAGTTTGAGCTGGCATCTTGATTTAAATCTATGAGGTGTTCAGATAAACCAGTTGTAATTTATTTAGTTTTAACATTTCCATCAATACATTTCGACAAATGGAAATATGTTCTACACTGAACACACTTCTGCACATTTTAGTACACAGTCATGTTTATGTGCTGAGATTTATACGTTGGGAAAATAAACCAAAAACGTGGCCTGTGTAAATGTTATGGCACATTATTTTTTCAAAAATGTTAACCTCTATTTAACTATTTAAGGGCGTTCTCTGTAGAGGATGCTATAATTTCACTCAGAAAATCAACAGAACATGCAGAATGACAGAGGTTGTTCATACTTCATACAACTGTGTAAAGAACTACTGGCATAATTAAATCATAATTTTTGATATATTTATATGCCATATAGGGCAGCACGGTGGCGCAGTGGGTAGCGCTGTTGCCTCACAGCAAGAATGGCCTGGGTTCAATTCCCGGCTGAGCGACCAGGGTCATTTCTGTGTGGAGTTTGCATGTTCTCCCCGTGTCTGTGTGGGTTTCCTCCGGGTACTCCGGTTTCCTCCCACAGTCCAAAAACATGCAGTTAAGCTAATTGGACTCACTAAATTGCCCCTAGGTGTGAGTGTGTGTGTGTGAATGTGTATGTCTGTCTGTCTGTCTGCCCTGCAATGAACTGGCGACCTGTCCAGGGTGTATCCTGCCTTCCGCCCAATGACAGCTGGGATAGGCTCCAGCACCCCACCATGACCCAGAAGGTTAAGCAGTTTAGATGATGTATGGATGTATGTATATGCCATATATAATACTGCTTGTTTTTTACAGGACAAAAATGCATCAGGTGATGCAGGGACAACAATTGGTGTTGGATCCAAACCCTCAGCCCCTCTAGACTCTGCAAAGGTTAATATCAAAGTGGAGTGGACAGAGAAGTTTCCAGAAAAATGGAAAAAACATCTGCAAATAGCTCTTCAGAGTTGGTTCAATAAACTGTTCGAGCAGATGAAAGAGACCTGCACTGTTTTGAACCTTCAACTTCTGGCTGATCAGCATCAAGCAATGGTGGAGATAAGCCCGTCAAAGGGTGAGAACTTTGAATTACTGACATGGTACAAAATATAAAATATACATGCAAAATATACATGCTTATTGGAAAAAATGACATGGTGTCTGATTGAAACACTTTCTTTGGGATACAGCCTGTTCCATAACATCAATGTTTCTATTCTCATCACTACTCATTTTCTGCTGGTCTTTAGTGAGGGGCGATATTAATAATGCCACATCAAGTTTACAGCTATATAAAAGTACAAGATGATATTTAAGTTTGAATGAACATTTTTTTAATCATTTTTGTTCATTTGTTGGGTCTTCTTTTAATTGTTTTGCTATTTTTGTTGCAGTTGCTGTCGTTGTTGTTTATTTTTCTTTCTTTATGTCCTCCTTCTTGGAAGAGACCTCATAGATGCCTATATGCATTATTAATAACAAAGTACTATAGGTCCTCCAAAAAGTGGGGTGGTGGTGGTGGGTTTAAAAAAAGTACATTAGTATTAAACAGTTAATAAATTAGCACTAATAAAGTTTATACATCAGCATTAATATTGTTAATAAGTAGTCACTAAAAAAAGTTGATAATTTATCATAAAGTAAAGTAAAATAAAGTAGAATTAAAAAGTCAAACTGCTTGGCAACAGGAACGCTAGTTTATGGGCATCATATCATGGATATAGTGCTTATGACTTAATATATTTAGCACAACAATATCAGTGAAACAGTGATAAAAAAAATAATAGCATGCTATACCGGTACCAGAAAATGTATCTCCCAAACATAATACTGTCTAATCTCATGATGTTTTTGTGATGTTTGTATATAATCATTTAATATTTGATTGTGTTTTATGTAAGCATGTAACTATACATAATTTGTATTATTTTTGTTATTTATGTAGTTTGATGTAGTGTGTAAACATTGTTCAGGTTTCACTTCCCAGTCCTTACAGGCCACATAAGGAAACTATGTGATACTATGTGGAAATTTTAAATTCATTCTTTCTGTGGAGTCATGAGAAAATTTACATATATCAGCCAATTCAGCCTACAGCAGTTTAGCCCCGCCTGTTCACACTGAAGTTGCTGAGGCACAATACAGGGCAGGAAATCAGAACAGAGCTCATTTACATATATGAATCTCAAAGGCGTAGTGACAAAAACAGCCTGTTTAAAAGGGATAAAGAGGGGTTGAAATGTGGTCACGTAAAAATTAAATTATGAATGGTTTTGGTACATAAATCCAAATATGGATCTCAAGGATAAAAAAAAAAAATGTTATAATTCACTTCGTAATTACTAACCCATATATAAATGCTTGCTTTTGTTTGATTTGTCTTTTGTTTTAGCTTTGGACATTTTAAGGACACTGAAAATTGGATCTTTAACATTCAAGGAATTAAAATGTAGCACTATAGTGCACTTTTTGGTGGATGAAACAAAGTCTTTGAAAGAGCCACCGAAGTCAATCCCCACAGTAGAGGAGGAGAAGGTGCCTGTCCCAGAGGTAATTTGTGTTTTTGGATTATTATGCAAGACATTATATATCTTTATTATTTTTGTTTCCTAATTTTCTCAGTACTTTGTGCCTCCCTTAATGCCAGGGCTTTATTAACCCAGTTGGCTGCATGAGTTTAGGGTGTAAAGTCAGCCTGATCATGTGAGCAGAGAGGAGTCAGTTTTCCCTTGATTCAGTGGCTTATATGTAAACAATATCATTCAGTTTGACATTCCTGGTCAGATTCCATGTTTCTGTTGATTTTCTACATGTACAACCCCATTTCCAAAAAAGTTGGGACATTGTGCAGAATGTAAATAAAAATAGAATGCAATGATATGCAAATCATGTAAAACATATTTTAAAAGGAAAATACTATAAAGGCAACATATCAAATGTTGAAACTGAGAAACTTTATTGTTTTTTTTAAATATATATGCCCATTTTAAATTTGAACAACACGTTCCAAAAATGTTTATCACTGTGTTTCATCACCTCTTCTTTTAACAACACTCTGTAAGCGTTTGGGAACTGAGGAGAGCAATTGCTGTAGTTTTGAAAGTGAAATGTTTTTTCGTTCTTGTTTGATATAGGATTTCAGCTGCTCAACAGTTTGGAGTCTCCATGTCATATTTTTCATTTCATAAGGCACCAAATGTTATCACTGGGTGATAGGTCTGGACTGCAGGCAGGTCAGTTTAACACCCAGACTCTTTTTTTATATGATGTAATGCTGTTGTAATACATGCAGAATGTGGTTTGGCATCGTCTTGCTGAAATAAGCAAGGCCTTCCCTGAAAAAGACACAGTCTGGATGGCAGCATATGTTGCCAAAACATGTATATATTGTTCAGCATTAATGATGCCTTCACAAATGTGCACATCACCTATGCCATGTGCACTGATGCACCCCTATACCATCATAAATACTGGCTTTTGAACTGTGTGCTGATAACAAGCTGAGTGGTCTCTAGCCTGGAGGACTCAGCATCCATGATTTCCAATAAGAATTTCAAATTTTGATTCATCGGACCGCAACACACTTTTCCACTTCCCCTCAGTCCATTTTAAATGAGCTTGGGCCCAGAGAAGGTGGCAGCATTTCTGGAGCCTGTTTATATATGGTTTCTTCTTTGCGTTTTAGAGTTTTAACTTGTGTTTGTGGATACTTTGATGAACTGTGTTCGCAGACTGTGGTTTTCAGATGTGTTCCTGAGCCCATGCAGTGACTTCCACTACAGAATCATGTCTGTTTTTAATGCAGTGCCGCCTGATGGCCCAAAGATCACGGCCAGCAAATAGTGGTTTTTGGCCTTGTCCCTTACATACAGAGATTTCTCCAGATTCTCTGAATCTTTTAATGTTATTACGTACCGTAGATGATAAAAAAAGCAAAAGTTCTTTGCTATTTTATGTTAAGAAACATTATTCTTGAATTGTTGCACTATTTGCCTGTCCAGTCTTTCAGAGTAAAACCCCTCCTCATCTTTACTTCTGAAAGACTCAGCCTCTCTGGGATGCTCTTTTATACCCATCATGTTATTGACCTGTTGGCAAATAACCACCAGGTGTTTTTTTAGCATTACACAACTACACCAGCCTTTTGTTGCCCTGTCTGAACTTTTTTGGAACGTGTTGTTGGCATTAAATTCAAAATGGGCAAATATTTTTCAAAAAACAAAATTACTCAGTTTCAACATTTGAACACACTTCTGCACATTTTAATGTACATTTACTGTTTATTTACTGGGTTTAACATATTGGGAAGAAATAAAACATGCCGTAACTTTTGCACAGGCCACATTTTACGTTTTATTTTATTTTAATAAATTCATTGTGTATTAACATGTGCGGACATGTGTTCTTTGTAGAGAATGTGTTAACTTATCTTTGCTTAATAAAACATGTAGTTTGACCAGGGGTGTTCAAATTTTTCCGTTCTACTGTATTGTGGAAAATTATATCACAAGATGCTTTTCTGAGTATGTGGTCAGTATAGAACATTGAACTGCTGTGTGAAAAGATTTACTCAAATTACAGAGAGCCTGTAAACAACAACAGAAACAACAATCCAACATACATTCACAGTGGGAAACAGTAGGAATTTTTTTCCCACACCAGAGTTATACACAAACAGTGCAGATGTTCCCAAAAAATGTCTGCATCACTTGAAACGTCCAACAATGGATTCAAACCAGTCCATGTTGAATACATTAGATAGGCTCACCCGTTCTTGGCAGGAGGGTGTAATGAGCTTAACTAAATGGTCAGATCCAGTGGTACCTCAAGGCGACCAACTGAATATCCTGTATCTGGCCTCAAGATATAAAGGCATCATCAGAGGTTCAGGGCTCCATGATGCAGGTCCCTCACTATCGTGAAATCTCATTTTGCTTTAGAAGCTGCTGCCGTAGACCCCTCTCCCCTGACTAAACACTCACCTTGTGTGGATCTCATATGTTAAATAGTGTCCTCCTTTCCTTACATCATTTCCTCACATCTCAGCTCCTCCGTCTGAGGACGCAAGGAAGAGAAGCAAGGATAAGAAGGACGGTGGAGTCAGTGCCGAACTTGTTTGTCAAATGTGATATCTTTCACTGAAGTGTCACTTTTATCACCTTTACTGGGCTTAAAGGATCTGCATAGATAGTATATTGATAGTGATAGTAAATACCTTGCTGACTACTTAGGTATTAACATCGGGTACTGATTGAGTATTGGAATAATTTAGTCGAGACCATAAAAAATTAAAAAACAAAAACGATACTTGGCCCTAATCAGTATCCATTATTAATGAAGTACACCCTTAGCCCACATTTGAAGCCTGTGGCTCCATGTCTGTCAGCATTTTAAATTTGCTTGTTTTATATATACATTGTGACTGTCTTATTACTAATTATAAACCTTATTTTCCATGTTTTTAGCTGGACATGTTTTTTACTGCTTTCATGGATTTAGACAAATGCCCCCCAAATATTCAAACAGAACTCAAGAGAAGGTTTGGAAATCCTCAGTTTGGAAAGAATTTGTCATTTTCAGGACCTTTTCACATAATTGAGAAGAACTACAGAGAATTTTGTGGCATCATTAGAGCATCAGAAACTGGGATGGCTGCTGCTGCTGCAGTGAAAAACGATCTAAGTAGAGCTGAGATCCCACAGCATGCTGAGAAGAGTGGAGGTCCACCTGCTTTTACCATTCCTCTCTTTCAATACTGGTACTTGAGCCATGCTTTCAGAAATGAGCTCAGCCAGTTTGAGAAGGAGTTTGGTGTTAAAATAAATGCTGATGTGTCAGTTTCAGTTACTGCTGTGGATCAAACCAGAAGAGATTCTGTTCAGGAAGCTGCTCAAAGATTTATAGACTTTTACCAGCAAAGCACACAAAACCTACAGTGTGTTAACATCCCTCAAACACAACTGGAGTCTGAAATTGTTAAAGAGGCAGTGCATAATATTCAGTCAGACCAGACTAAGATGATGTTAAACATGTCAGCTGATCAATGCCTGCTGTTTGGACCAAAACCTGTAATATCGGCAGTTCAGAAGAGGATGGATCTGGAGTCTGGAATGAAGCTTGCAGAATCATACAGCAATGGCATGACAAGTAAAATGGAGACTGACATCAGTGATGCATCAAGAAGCTGGTCTTCACAGATGTCCAGGACCTTGGAAATGGACATCAGGGACACTCCAGATTCGATTGAGATGAATAAGACGCATTGGGAACTGATGAAGAAGATTTTTAAAAAACAGATTCATGATATTGAAAAGAAATATGGAGTTGTGTTTAATGCTGTACCTTCACAGGGCTCCATTAAGGTGACAGTACACTCAGTCAACCAAGGTGTCAATCTTGAAAGCCATGCCCTCAGAGCCTTCATGCATCTCTATCAGAAAGTTGCCACATCAGCTGTTGCCTGTACATTTAAGAACCCTGCTGAGGCAAAAACTGTGGACCAGGCACTGGAAAGACTCGGCTGTCAAGACTGTTTTGTTGGTGTTCAGGAGAAAAACGATATCTGGAAACTTGTTGGGCTCCCAAAGCATCTCGGCCCTGCCATCACTGATATTGAGAAGCTGGTTGGAAAGCGTTTATTTGATGACAAGACAAAGCGATTAGTTGGTTACTCGGGAAATTTCCCACAATCATGGGGGCTTAGAGGGGGGCAACAGGGAGCAGGTGCAGTTGGGTGGACAGACGGACCTTCTCCGAACATTGGAGCACAAGCAAACAATGAGCCAGGAAAAGCTGCTAACAAGAAAGAAAGTGATAAAAGCAAAGATGATGACTGTCCAATCTGCATGGACAAATTTACTGACAAAACAAAACTGAAATGTGGCCACGAGTTCTGCAAAGGGTGTCTGCAGGAGTCAGTGAAGAGCATGGGTAAAATCTGCCCAGTGTGTAAGGACATCTTCGGGATGTTGATGGGAACCCAGCCTGATGGAACAATGGACGTCTCTACCAAAGGCTTCAGTCTCTCTGGTTACCCTCGCTGTGGCACTATTGAAATTATTTACACCATATCAGATGGCATTCAGACGGTAAGAATTCATTCTTAGCAAAAGGGTAAAACTTTATTATCCATAAGTTTATCCATTTAACACGTGTAAGCATCCACATGTATTTACAAATGGTGTATAATATGGCTATACGATAAATTGTATTTTTATTGTTATTGCAATATGAGTTTCCATGATAAACACATTGTTAAAGCGGCGATTACAGAACAGATCTAAAGTCCTCATACACGCAGCACCAGAGAGACGTCATTACATTAGCGGCACAAGCCTGCTTCTCTGCACTGGGACTGAACCTGCTCTCCCACGTGGGAGACAAGTAACTTAACCATACAGCCAAACGGCACCTACACACACTTTGGGACCTTAAAATGTCCCCATAACTCAGCTTTAATTGAAATTCAACTACAAAAGGCATTCTGGGACCTTAAAATGTCCCCATAACTTAGTTTTAATGGACATACAACTACAAAACACATACTCTGAGACCTTAAAATGTCCCCATAACTCAGCTTTAAAGGACATTCAGCTACAAAAGGCACTCTGGGACCTTAAAATGTCCCCATAACTCAGCTTTAATGGACATTCAACTACAAAACACACACTGTGACCTTAAAATGTCCCCATAGCTCAGCTTTATTGGAAATTCAACTACAAAACACACACTGAGAGACCTTAAATGTCCCCATAACTAAGCTTTAATGGAAATTCAACTACAAAACACACAAATTGAGACCTTAGAATGTCTCCATAACTCAGCTTTAATGGACAAACAACTACAAAACACTTGCTTTGCCACCTTAAAATGTCCCCGTAACTCAGCTTTAATGGAAATTCAACAGCTGCAGTAAAGGGGAAAACATGCAGCACACAGGCTGCTCAGGCTCTACTGTTTTTCTTCTAGCCAGCTTGGCTACTGAAGCTGGCTACCTTAGGTCCCTAGAGTCCTTCAGGTGAAGAGTCCAGGATCAACTAAGATGCCTAACTTCACTCAACCAAAAGCAAGAACAGCCTGGCATGTTTGATGCCACAATATGTAGCAACTGACTGTTTCTCAGTCCATTAGTGCACAAAAAATGTGCTCTCAGTTCTGATGTATGTAGTTCTTAGTGTTTCATTTTTTTATTTTGCAGAATAGTAAATGCTGCTTTTGTAATTTTGTATTTTGTTATTAGTTTAAAGAGGGGTTTAAAGAGAGGTTAGTTAGATTTCTGTTTACACATCCCAATAAAAAAGCATGGTACTTGCATTACATCCAGCCAGAGACACATTACTTTAATAGTAATTTATCGCTTCTCATATCGTCATTGTAATATCAGACAGCTTTATTCAAACATCACATTTTATGTCAATATCATGCCGCCCTACTGAATAGCATATAAACTGAGGTTGTTGTTTTGTGGGCATGGAGGGGGTGGAGCTTTAACCGTGGACAGACTTGCACTGTAGCGTGTATAAATGTTAGATATTGTTTCTGTTTTTTTCTTTGTTAGAAGACATGCGCTGAAAAAGTCAGCAAAATTTGCCGTATTGAATGATGAAAACTTACTGTCAGCAGTTTACGAATGGTGAACGAAAAACAGGTTAATGTGTATAATTTATCATTAACAATTAAAACAGTTTTTATTTAGCATTCATCTGAAAAACAAAACTCGTTGATATCTGTGGACTATCTACACTGCTATGAGAGTTTAGCAGCTACATATTGCATCAAAAGTGGCAATCATTGAGGTCCAAGCACTATGTGCGTTATGAAGCCAATAGACCCTAATTTTTGTAGAATGGCATCCATTTAAAAAAGAGATGCCTACCAAGTTTCATACACAGTGACATTTTGACCTTAGTTTGGTAAACTCAAAAAAGTCAGAATACCTAGAAAACTGTACAATTGTCGACATGACTTCTATTTGCGTAGGTGAACAAAATAATTTCTAAACAGTTAACAATTCATTTTTAGGGATTAGGGATGTTAAAATCACTAGTTTTCTCCTACATCAGACTGGTTTCTGAGTTTGTCACCTTTTTTGCACTTCTCATGGGTTTTCATGACTGAAAAAATGAAAAAGATAAAGACCAAACACACATAAAGTTTTAATTAAGAGCTGTGTTGAAGAGCTGCGTTTTCAGATGTTTATTAAAAATGAGCTCTGAGCTTGACTGTCTAATAAAAGGTGAACTGAGCTCCACAGTTTAAAAGCAGAATAACAGTAAGAGTCTGTCCACGTTTTCTGTGTTTTACTGAAGGTGTTTGAAGTTCAGTATCTGCAGATATAAGATCATAAACAGACAGACATTCAGGAGCTTTAAGGTCATTTAGAGCTTTAAAAACCAGCAGCAGAGCTTTAAAATCTCTACTAAAATATCCAGGCAGTCAGTGCAGTGTGTAAACAGGTCAAATGAGCTCTCTGTGTTGGTGTTGTGAGGATCCATGCAGCTGCATTTTGTTGTAAAGGTTGCGTTATTTTTTATTTAAATGAGACAGACATTATAGGTGCTAAAATAACACCTATAAGTAGACTGTGTATAGCAGTTCATAATTCCAAAACTGTACAGTCATTCAATATAAACAAGATCATTCTTTGTACTGTTATTTAGGAGAGACATCCAAACCCTGGACAACGTTTCTATGGAACAAGTCGCCGGGCTTATCTGCCTGACAATGATGAAGGGAGGCATGTGCTTAAACTGCTGCGGAAAGCTTTTGATCAGAAACTGATCTTCACTGTCGGGACCTCCACGACCACTGGAGCACAAAACGTGGTCATCTGGAACGACATTCATCATAAGACCAACACCAGTGGTGGTCAGCAAAGGTAAGAGTGACCATTATGAGAAAGAAGTCTATTGAGACATGCAGAATCTTTCTAAAAATCACCAAATCAACCACAAAATGAGGCCATTAATTGCCTTATTTGTGTTAAATTCTGGCACTATGAAAAAAATGCGTATATCATAGACTGAACTCTTACCTCTTTCCTCAGTTATGGCTATCCGGACCCCGACTACCTAAAGAGGGTGAGAGAGGAACTGAAAGCAAAAGGCATTGAGTGAAGATTAAAAATACAAAAGTATATATAACTCATATTCATATGTTTACCTTATTTTCTAGATATCAAATGCCTAATAAGATGAGTCACTTAATTTAGTCTTCTATATAGATTTAAGAGAATCTTAGGAATATTGTGTGGTTATGTGATTACTATATTTTCAACTCAAGACATTTGATGATCATTCAGTACAGTTGTTTTCAAAAGTGAATGAGCGAGTGCAGTTGTATGTGAAAGTTTGGCGCCCCTGGCCAAATTATATATTGTTGATTTTTGAACTGAAGAGAAGTTACTACAACCTCTACAGTAAACTGTTTGAAAAATGTTTTGGATCATAAGCCAGTCATATTTGTTATATTTGCCTCCAGAATTTGCTCATAGTTAGCACAATCCATTCTACCAACTACCCCTGTGCAATGTTGAGTCAGTGGTAGCCATTCAACATCCAAGCATAATATTTCCAGGGGCGACAACACAAATGTAGCCATTTTATTTACTATGCAAAACCACCAGTGAACCTACACATGTCTTTTGAGTTTTATATGGAATGTTGATGATGGGAAAATAGTGGAAAATCTGAAATAATACATTTTCTTTGCGGACCATTTTGCTTCGCAATGTCCTACATGTACTCATACTCTATGAATGGGTTTAGGCTAAAAGCTCATCATAAAACTCAAACATCAAAAAACAATTCTGAGATTTTTCACTTTATGAAAATAAGCCAAAATCAAGCACAAGGGTTATCATGCTGCATGATTTTTCATGTTTAAATCTGATGGTGTTGTGATGTTAAATTTGAGTACTCTGCACTTTTGTAACTTTACACTCTGTAAGCTGTAATGGTGACTGGATAAAATGAAGATAAATAAAAACAGATCATGCATGAAACACTCCTCCAGTGATTATTCAGTCCTTTCTATTGTAAAAATGGCTCTAAACAAATGAACAGGCAATACCCCAAATTACTAAAATATAATGATCATTATAAAGTAGAGCCATATTCTAATATATCATAGCACCTTTGTTAAATAATAATGAATAATGTGTTTATTAACGCTGCATTATGTAAGATGTTTAAAATAAAATTGAAAGAAGTGTCATTACTGAATGAGGAGAATAAAAACAGGCTAAAATGTGGTGAGCGTGTGCTGCTGCAAGTTGCCCTGTAAACCCTGAAATAATCATTCAAAAGTCTGAGGTGTCAGGTCAGGAGTTGTTTACACCACATCATACGTCTTTACGTATTAACATCACACACACAGTCTCAAAAGGAAGGTCCGGCTCTTATTTAGGTTTCAAATGATGTCAAAATCAACATTATACTGATGAAGATATCAAGTCAAATGGCCTTTATTGTCTTTCCTTAATATAACACTTATACATTGGAATGAAATGTGGTTCTTCAGGCCCCAAACACACAACAGCAGCACATTACAACTGCACAAAGTATATATATATATATATATATATATATATATATATATATATATATATATATATATATATATATATACACATATATATATATATATATATATATATATATATATATATATATATATATATATATAAAGGTATATAAAGATATTGGGACACACCTCTTAATCATTAAATTCAAGTGTTTCATTCCTGGTGTAAAGCATGCCGCCACTCGGCTCTGGAGCGGTGGAAACGTATTCTGTGGAGTGATAATTCACACTTCTCTATCTGGCAGTCTGATGGATGAGTCTGGGTTTGGTGAATGTTAGGAGAACATTACCTGCCTGACTGCAACTGTAAAGTTTGGTGGAGGAGGGATAATGCCTAGGCACCTTAGTTCCAGTGAAGAGAAGTCTTAATGCTTCAGAATACCAAGACATTTTGAGCAATTATATGCCTCCAACTTTGAGGGAACAGTTTGGGGAAAAATCCAACTCAACTAAATCATTACAAATACACTTGTAATACAGCAAAAGAGCTCAGATCCAATGCATGGAATGCTGCAACATAAGTCATGTAAGTTTAGGGATGACCCTTTACTGTTTCAGCAGGTCAGTATGCCCCTGTGAGCTCTATAAAGAAATGGTGAGTTTGGTGTGGAGGAGCCTAACTAGCCTGCAAAGAGCCCTGCACTCATGAAACACAGAACAGGCTCTTGCATGTGAATGTGTTAAGCTGATATTAACTGAATTGATCCATGTTTAAAACAAACATAACAGGTAATATCAAACATAGTTTTGATATTGCCTAATTTTCCAAGTATTAAATGAGCTGAAGTCAATCAACTCAAATAAAAGAAAATGAATTGTGTTTTTCAAGCCCTCACAGGATTTCCACCAGGACTATTGAGATTCATGCCCAAATAAATGCAGTCTGTCATGCTCAAAATACAATATCCCTCACATCACTCAACTATTTTAAGTTAGGGAGACTTTTCTGAAGATTTCATCTGTTCAAATGGGATCTTTGAGTTAAATCAACACACTAAAATTCACTTCAGTCTGTTGCTATTAGCAGAAGGAGAGATTGGTGCCGCTAAGACAAGACTTTATTAGCTCCTGGCTCTATCTGTTTGCATATTGTCTTTCTCCTTATTTTGCTCACCATCTCTGTTGTCTTTATTTCTAGGCTGCTCTCTTAGAAAAGATGGTTCTTCAAGAGTTCTCTAGTAAAGAAAATGGTTCTGTCTGGAACCATGAATACTCAAAGAACTCTATACAAGATTAAAGGGTTCTTTGCGTGATGAAATGATTCTTCAGATTGATAGAGAATGTGCTATAGATGGTTCTATGTAGAGCTTTTTGACAAGGGTTCTTCACAACACCAAAAAGCATTCTGCTACAGTTACAATAGTTAGCTTGTAACCATAGAATAACTTTTTTTGTTGCTATATAGAACTCTTTTTAAAGGTTCTATATAGAACAATATACACCCACATTCTCCATCAATCCGAAGAACTATTTTACAATGCAGAGAACCATTTAAGCATTAAGAAAGTTCTTTAAGTGTTCATGGTTCTATATTGTCTTTACTAAAGAACCCTCTTTTTAGGAGTGCAATAAACCCATATGGACTAAATAAATGGACATGCATTTTTATTTATTAAGAAATACACTTCATATACACTGCAGTCGATGCTGAAATACATGAAAAACACTCAGAATATTTCAGAATATTTTGCCATATTAACCAAATATATTTTAAAATCCATTGTTTTTCAAATGTATGGGGAAATATTACACATAGACAGCCAAAATCCTGTCTAATGCACTTTACTGTCTGATACCTTTGAAATGAATTTGTAATCCAGCATCTTCATTTTAAATGTTAGCAAATTAACCTTTACCATGACAAAAGTGAGTGTTGTAGATATTGATACTCTGTGAAAATGCAGTTACGATTTGATATCTTGTTTATTTGAAATACATTGTGTGTGAGTGTCTTACTGCATACGGATATGGTTCATATAAATTACAAGGCAGATCACAGAAGTCAGAACCGTTTAGTTACATCTGTAATATTTATTACAACTACATACAACTGAACACATTTAATAACAAATACAAATAAATTCATTAAAAAATATATTTAACAAATACATTTTGGCCATTTTCCTACACTGCAAAAATATATTTTACATATATTATACATATATACATTACATACATTTTTTAATATGGGAAATCTCTGGGTCTTACCTGGCTACTCCCTTCTAAGAGATCTAGCTACGCCCCTGGTGATTTTCTAGCTGTCTAAACATGCCAGCAGTGAATCAGAGCAGCTGCACACTTTCAGTTTCGTTTCAGAGGAAAGCAGAGCCACTGTCCAGCTTAAACAGCGCTGAGAGCTCAGTCTGGGTAAGTAAGCTCACTCACTTCATTATGGAGTTAGAAATGTCAAAGGAAGAACCGTATAGAACCGTACTAAACAGTATGGCAGAAACAGTGCACCTCCAATAGAAGCCCACTCATTAGTGTAGTATGTGTAGTACAGTAGTATGTGTTTTGGGACGCAGCTCACAAGAAGCCTTTAGCATTCAGTTGCGATACTGAGCAAAAAAGAGAATGATATTCGTGCGGCTTAATCAGACGACAATGAAGTAATTTGATCTCGAATATAGTTGAGATATCTCTCCTACGGAGAAATGCACCGATTCGTTTGCCCTCTGTTCGTACTTTTTCGCTAACTTTCGCCGGCGGCTTGAAACCAATCACAGTCGACTCTGGGGTTGTCATGGCGACGGCCAAGTTTACCGGTGTTGTGCCGAATTCGGCACCCCTGCCGCGAGATGCACCCCCTCACGGGAGGCGCGCTCAAAGTCTTTTGCTCGAAAGCGGAGGTCATCCGCTTTTAGCTTACATGTATCAATTTGAAGAACTTGCAAAACGTCACCTTCGTCTTGATCAACAACACAATAAATCGCTGTTTTACAGAATGGAAACACCCCAGATGTTCTTCTAACGTACAGTGACTCGTAAATAGTAATACAAAAGTATAATGTAGCCTACATACACCGCTGCTTACTTATTCTACGACATAGCAGTCTGCACTGACTTTGTATGCAGCAAAACTTGTTGCTTGTTGCTATTTGTCAACAAAATATACATATGAATTTCACCTACTTATCGTGTCATGTTTCTCACCAGTCTGGATCAGGTTCTTTAGATTTTACACTCTAAAGGCAGTGACTTGTAAAAAACTCTCAGGAGATGCAACCCATTATAAATCGGGATACACTCTTATTGCTGCCATGTAACTTAATACATACTGCTAAAATCATTTCATGGTAGACTCAAAAGAAAGAAAATGACAGGGAAATGCTTTGTATAGCAGAACACTGGCCAGAAAATGCCAGTTTTTGCTAAATTGGTGTTGCATCCCTGAAAATTTATTGCAGAAAACACATGTTGGCCCTAAGTGTATATTACTAATATATTTCATAGTTTTATTCATAAAAAACGTTACAATAGGATGCTTTTCAAGTGAGTCCACCTGTCGGGAAAAGAACCCTCTGTTAGATCTGGCTGGGGGGTTGTTGTATCTATGATACTTGCATAGGTTTCACATATTCGTCCAAAATATGTATGATAAAAAACATATAGTTGTGTCAACAGAAAGCAAGTTATAGGGGTGTGCCTTTTAAGGCAGTCCACCTGCCAAGAAACGCACCCTCTCTAAAATCTGGCTACATTATAATTACAACCATGATACTTATACAGGTGTCACATATTGGTCCAAAATATGTGTGATTAAAAACATATCATAGTTGTGTCAACAGAAAGAAAGTTACAGGCGGGTGCCTTTTAAGGCAGTCCATCTGCCAGGAAGTGCACCCCCTCTAAAATCTGGCTAGATGATACTTATACAGGTGTCACATATTGGTCCCAAATATGAATTACTAAAAATGTTTCATAGTAGTATCAACAAACCTGCTGGGGAATGCACTGCTTCACAAATCTGGCTACATTATTATTACATCCAGGATGCTTATACAGGTAATGCTTATTGGTTCCAAATATGTTGAAGGGATGCAGATTATCTCCTGTAATCAAATTTGAATATTTTGAATTCTTGATTAAGAATTTTTTTCTCCAATCTATGTCAACAGACATGGCAGTGACCGATGGTAGAGGAGACGGAACTGGGTATTTTAATCATTGTATATAACTGGGTGAAAGGTGACCTTTTGGGAACCTTCAAGGCCTTGGGCCTGAGACTCTTGCTGATAAGATTATGAGACACCATATCTTTGTTGTTGATCAAGACGTTTCCTTGGTATGTTTGTTATCCTGAAAAACATTTTTCTTGTTTCATTTGGCCATTAAATGATCTATATTTGTGGGAAATGACCACTCATTTGACAAAGTATTCGTACATTTAATGGCCAAATATAAGAAAGGGTGCATCTTGTGAAAGGTGGTGTGCCACAAACAGCATCCCCCTGTAACTTTAACTTTATTTGTAATTTACCACACAGTTGATATAAATTTACAAATGTATGAAAAACACCCATTTATAATTTATGTAATGCTATATGCCCCAAAAACTAAACCACATATTGAATTTCAAAAGTAGAATAGATTTAACAAGAAAATTTAACAAGAAAAATGTTTGAACAGAGTCATTGGTGAGATTCAGTCAACAAAGATATGGTGTCTCATAATCTTATCAGCAAGAGTCTCAGGCCCAAGGCCTTGAAGGTTCCCAAAAGGTCACCTTTCACCCAGTTATATACAATGATTAAAATACCCAGTTCCGTCTCCTCTACCATCGGTCACTGCCATGTCTGTTGACATAGATTGGAGAAAAAAATTCTTAATCAAGAATTCAAAATATTCAAATTTGATTACAGGAGATAATCTGCATCCCTTCAACATATTTGGAACCAATAAGCATTACCTGTATAAGCATCCTGGATGTAATAATAATGTAGCCAGATTTGTGAAGCAGTGCATTCCCCAGCAGGTTTGTTGATACTACTATGAAACATTTTTAGTAATTCATATTTGGGACCAATATGTGACACCTGTATAAGTATCATGTAGCCAGATTTTAGAGGGGGTGCATTTCCTGGCAGATGGACTGCCTTAAAAGGCACCCCCCTATAACTTTCTTTCTGTTGACACAACTATGATATGTTTTTAATCATACATATTTTGGACCAATATGTGATACCTGTGTAAGTTTCGTAGATGTAATTATAATGTAGTGAGATTAAAGGGGGGGTGCATTTTCCGGCAGGTGGATTAAAAGGCACCCACTTAACTTTTTTTCTTTTCACACAACTATGATATGTTTTTAATCACACATATTTTAGACTAATATGTGACACCTATATTAGTTTCATGGATGCAATAACCATGTAGCCAGATTTTAGAGAGGGTGCGTTTCTTGGCAGGTGGACTGCCTTAAAAGGCATCCCCCTATAACTTGCTTTTTGTTGACACAACTATAATATGTTTTTAATCATACATAATTGTGACCAACATGTGCAACCTATACAAGTATCATAGATACAACAACCCCCCAGCCAGATCTAACAGAGGGTTCTTTTCCTGACAGGTGGACTCACTTGAAAAGCATCCTATTGTAACGTTTTTTATGAATAAAACTATGAAATATATTAGTAATATACACTTAGGGCCAACATGTGTTTTCTGCAATAAATTTTCAGGGATGCAAGACCAATTTAGCAAAAACTGGCATTTTCTGGCCAGTGTTCTGCTATACAAAGCATTTCCCTGTCATTTTCTTTCTTTTGAGTCTACCATGAAATGATTTTAGCAGTATGTATTAAGTTACATGGCAGCAATAAGAGTGTATCCCGATTTATAATGGGTTGCATCTCCTGAGAGTTTTTTACAAGTCACTGCCTTTAGAGTGTAAAATCTAAAGAACCTGATCCAGACTGGTGAGAAACATGACACGATAAGTAGGTGAAATTCATATGTATATTTTGTTGACAAATAGCAACAAGCAACAAGTTTTGCTGCATACAAAGTCAGTGCAGACTGCTATGTCGTAGAATAAGTAAGCAGCGGTGTATGTAGGCTACATTATACTTTTGTATTACTATTTACGAGTCACTGTACTTTAGAAGAACATCTGGGGTGTTTCCATTCTGTAAAACAGCGATTTATTGTGTTGTTGATCAAGACGAAGGTGACGTTTTGCAAGTTCCTCAAATCGATACATGTAAACTAAAAGCGGATGACCTCCGCTTTCGAGCAAAAGACTTTGAGCGCGCCTCCCGTGAGGGGGTGCATCTCGCGGCAGGGGTGCCGAATTCGGCAGAACCCCGGGTCTGTTCTCTGAACACTGCAGTGCTTAAAGGCGGCGTCTGGGACTGCCGCTTCGCACATGCAGCCTGTTTGAAAGTGCTGACCAGTTAACATGGGTGCCAAAATGAAATCAAGACTATTTGCGTCGCTCATGGCACACAGAAACAGTATGTGTGAATCAGACCTACGAGAATTTGTGTGTTGTTCACGTGATCGGTTGCTCGAGAATGACTTTGTTCATTTTAACTGTTTTACTGTTATATTGTTTACACGTGGTTTGATCGTTCTGCTTTATTTAGGCTGTTAATTAATTTCTCTATATGTGTGCTTCCGCCCGCTCCCGCGAGCAACACTAAAAATTTGTCCCGCGCTGCAAGATATTGGGTATCTGCGGACGTGCAGACCTCTATTTTGCAGTAAATATGAACAGCTGCACACTTTCAGTTTTGTTTTCGTATGGAGGAAACTCACTTAATCATTAAGTTAGAAGTGTAGGATTAGGAGAGAATGTAGAGAATGTAGAACCACTCATCATTTAGCTATGATGCCCAGTGTGAGTGTGAGCAGAGTCACTACTTTTAGGTTAAAATACAGTGAAATGTCTTATGCTCAGCTGAGTGACTGTTAACCCACAACGCTAGAGCACAGCTTTCTTTAAATTTACTTAAAGAGTAAGTCTTATAAACAAATGTCGAATGAAAGCCCACCATTCAGCCTGCAAACTGTAGAAGAAGTGAAAATGTTAGTGTTGCTGCTCGATGGCCAGCACAGCTGGTCAGAAATAGCCCAGTGGTCTAATGTGAACAAAAGTCTCCCTCTAATGATATAAATAGCCTGTGTGTAAATAATCTGCCTGAATCCACTCTGAAGACCAGAGGCAGGGCTGAAGAAATCTGACCTAACAGTGACTCATTTTTAATTAGACTAAAAAGAAGTAAGTCTGAATGTCTTTTAGCAGTTTGTATCAGCTTCAGAAGAGTTAAGCCTCTCTCAGAACTTATATGAGATATTTAAAAGGGAGGTCCATTATTTTTTCTTTTGATTGTCCATTTTATCAGCTCCTCTTACTATATAGGTGCACTTTGTAGTTCTACAATTACAGACTGTAGTCCATCTGTTTCTCTGCATACTTTGTTAGCCCCCTTTTACCCTGTTCTTCAGTGGTCAGGACCCCCATGGACCCTCACAGAGCAGGTACTATTTGGGTGGTGGATCATTCTCAGCATTGCAGTAACACTGATGTGGTGGTGGTGTGTTAGTGTGTGTTGTGCTGGTATGGGTGGATCAGTCACAGCAGTGCTGCTGGAGTTTTTAAACACTGTGTCCACTCACTGTCCACTCTATTAGACACTCCTACCTTGTCAGTCCACCTTGTAGATGTAAAGTCAGAGACGATAGCTCATCTGCTGCTGCACAGTTTGTGTTGGTCATCCTCTAGTCCTTCATCAGTGGTCACAGGATGCTGTTGGCTGGATATTTTTGGTTGGTGGACTATTCTCAGTCAAGCAGTGACACTGAGGTGTTTAAAAACTTCAGCAGCACTGCTGTGTCTGATCCACTCAGACCAGCGCAACACACACTAACACACCACCACCACCACATCAGTGTTACTGCAGTGCTGAGAATGATCTACCACCCAAATAGTACCTGCTCTGTGAGGGTCCATGGGGGTCCTGACCACTGAAGAACAGGGTAAAAGGGGGCTAACAATGTATGCACAGAAACAGATGGACTACAGTCTGTAATTGTAGAACTACAAAGTGCACCTATATAGTAAGTGGAGCTGATAAAATGGACAATGAGTGTAGCAACAAGGAGGTGGTCATAATGTTATGCCTGATCGGTGTATAACTATATTATTAAAAAAATTTAAAACTATATTTTATGTTATTTTATTAATTGTATTTTGTCCCAGTTTGTCAATTTTTTTGTTAAGTTTAGCCCCTGTTTCAAGCTTTTTAAATATAAAAGTGATGTACAGAGCATTGCTTGAGTGTAATCTGTGAAATTCCTCTGTTTATGGAATGTCTAATTTTCAGTAGGCTCATTTAAGGTCATCTGTATTCATCAAAACGCAAACAAGGCTTAGAACAAATTTACACGTGTTGTCAATCATATGCAGAGATTAGTGACCCACTGTTCCCAGATTTCTCACTGATAAACACAGTTTCAGGAGACCAGGAAGAAGTAAGACACCCTCCATGTCTTCCTCAGTAAACAATTCTAAACTTAACTGAAACTTCATGAGAAGTTCTGTAGGCCAGAGTGAGAAGCAGATGTCCACCTCTTTTTTATGTTTGTAGTCTTGTCATTTAATCATGATATTGCAGTGTATATCGTTTACATTGTACTGAATTTGGGATTATAATTTTAGGTTGTCATTTGAAGAACTGGCCAGAGACAGGAGATGAAAATGAGCCTGACTCATTTGCAGTATTTTTTTCTGTTGATTAATTAGTACGGTCTCTGTCAAATAAATGAAAAATGTAGTTTATCACTGTACAGTCCCTCAAGCCCCTCCCCTTTTTACAAACCTTTCCGTTTGTTCAGTCAGTAAAAGATTATCACAGAGCAGCTGGCGGTATCAGAGTATGTGAGTGATAATATGACTGTTTGTGATTCTAGACTTTACAGGGTAAAAAGTGTGAAGAAAAGAGACAATCATCAGTATGGATGTTGACTATCACAGCACAGTGAGTATCACTGATGATGTTAGTTATTTACAGAGTTGAGAAAAATACTTTTTAACAGTAATGATGGCTGAACAATGAGTAGACCTAAATGTATTCAGTAACATATTGCATAATATTATTATGTTTTTTCTATTCTTCTTTGTTTGTTTATTTATTATTTAAATATTTTATTTGATTATATTAATTAAAAATATTCAAGTCCATTTCCATTTTGCTGGCAAAATGCTAAAATACCCAGTAAGGGGTGCTGCAGAACAAGGTTAAAACAAGTAAGAAATGCCTAGAAATAGGCCTGGAATATTTCTGCAACAGTCTCAAAATGAGAAATGTTAGACAAATGGAAGAATAAAGACGATTTCACTTATCAGGATAGCAATTTTTGCAGAGATGGAAAAACTGTTTTTACTGAATTCTCGCCATCACTGGTTAGTTTTCTTCGTGTAAATCGTCTGTTAATAAGTTTGATAAAAAACTTGCTAATGATTTAAATGAAGTTCCTACTTAGTTTCTATCATTGCCACAATCCCCCTGGAGCAGGACCACCACCTGTCTCATAAACTGAGCAAAAATAGGGACTGTTTTTGGTAAATGCTCCAGAAAACCCTCATAAAAGTTACATACTCATATGTTTGGTTTTTTCTGATGTGTCAGAAGCCTCTAAAGTGTAAATTTGTTAAAACTGTATTGAATGTAGTTTTAATTTAACCCTGGAACACAGTTAGTACTGATTTTCACTTCTATTGGTTGTTGATAAAGTGGGACAGTCTCTTAAGCTTACTAGAAGCACATTTGCAGTAGCCAATCAACAGCAAAACACTTAATCACATTCAGCTGAATGAATAACAATCAGGAACTGAATTGGCTTAATGCATATACTGTCCTCTCTCCACTGACTGAGACAGTTAAATAGTTGATGGCATTTATTTTAAAGACTATGATTTTTTCTTGTTCAGTAGGTAAGTATTTTTAAAATATTCACCTAAAATGCACTGAACAGTCTTATAATATTCTTATAATGTGGAATGTGGAATAGCTGATGTATTCACTAAATTTAAGATGTTTACACTTGCACAGATATCATTTTTAGCAGTATATCTTGTTTCATATACTGGGACTGCCTTTAGTAGGTGTATAACTTATTTACTTTTTTTTCACATTTTTAGGTGTACAGGCTTTTCACTGGAGCTCCACCTGCTCTCACCGTTCCTCTCTGTCAATACTGGTATCTCAGTCATGCTTTCAGGAAGGAGCTCAGCCAAATTGAGAATGAGTTTGGTGTTGAAATAAACGCTGAGGTGTCAGTGTCAGTCACTGCTGTGGATCAGATCAGAGGAGATTCCGTAAACAAAGCCACTCAGAGAGTTACAGACCTCGTCCAGAACAGTATGAAGAGTCTCCAGTGTGTCAAGATCCCTCACACACAGGTGGAGTCTGAAATTGTTAAAGAGGTGGTGCGAAATATCCGAATGGACAGAGCTAAGATGATGATAAACATGTCAGCGGATCAGTGCCTGCTGTTTGGACCAGAACCTGTAATATCAGGGGTTGAGGAGCAGATGAATTTGGAGCCCGGTATGAAGCTGAAGAGATCATTCATCAGTAGCACGCTGAGTAAAGCAGAGGTCTACAGAGATCTAAGAAAAGAGGCTGGAAATGCTAAAGAGAAAAAACGTGTTAAAAGCAAAGATGATGACTGTCCAATCTGCATGGACAAATTTACTGACAAACAGAAGCTGAAATGTGGCCACGAGTTCTGCAAAGAGTGTCTGGAAGCATCAGTGAAGTGCATGGGTGAAATCTGCCCACTGTGTAAGGACATCTTCGGGATGTTGACGGGAACCCAGCCTGATGGAAAGATGAGTGTCTCTAAACTGGGATCTAGTCTGCCTGGTTACTCTCATTGTGGCACCATTCAAATTACTTACAACATACCAGACGGCACACAGACGGTAAGAATTCACTCTTAGCAAAAGGGTAAAACTTTATTTAGGCATCTACAAGTATTTACGAGTGGCATAAAAAGCTAGTAAGATTTTAAAAAATGCAGTTGAACTCGTTATGGTGGCTAATGCAGGGATCTGGGAAGGTGGGGTACAGCGCAGTTAGGTAATTTACTTGCTCAGATAAACCTGCTAATTCTGGTAATCAACTTAGTGGTTAAATCAAATGTGTTTGACCAGGGAAATCACCAAAATATGCTGGACAAAATGAAAATTGGTGACCTGTGGTCTAATATCTATGGGCTCGTAGCTCAGAACAGCTGCATCAGCCTGTTAAAAAAATTAATAACATTAGTAATAATAATAGTAAGAAAAAATGGTTTTATATTTTTATTTACAAAAACGTGCTTTACACAGGAAGATGAATGAAACATTTTATACTATACTTACTTACTAAATATTCAGTATAAGCAGT